GAGCTGTGCGGGTTTCCTCTCAGCGCTCTCCTTGTGGCCCTGCCTTGCTGCTTTCCGGTGGCCCCCAGCGTGGGATGCGCTGTGTATGCTTCATGGGATGAGACACATGAGCCAGAAAATTAGGTGTATGATAGGACCAAAGAGCTGCATGTGTGCCCTGTTACCTACCTGCTGAGGTGAGGGTGCCTTGCCTTGCTTGGGTGAGACCTAAGGCAGTCAATGCAACCTTGGTTTACTTCTAACTTCTGCTGTTCAGGTGTTCTGATTCCTGTTTTTGCCTTACCTACCTAGCCTTGGCTAGCCCTAGGGTTGGAAAACCATGGAGGTGCATGGAGGAAAGAATTGCATTGGTGTGTGTACTTAAAGCGTGTTTAGATCCTCATCCTTCAAATGGAGTGGGTTGATTAATGTTTGCAGCCCTTCAGCTGCCTCCAGAGAAGGAAGCTGCATTTCCTGAACTCTGTCAGGGCTTTAAGCTCATCCTCCTGCATAAACAAGGAGTGAGACTGCTGTGCTATATAGATGCTGTACTATAGTAGTAACCTGTGTCTAAGGCGCAGGAGGCAGATGCCTGAGTTGCTCCCCACCACCAACCTGAGATAATTGGGATGCTTTTGAGGTTTGTGGTGGAAGCTCCTAAAATCTAGGTGGATCTCATCACTGCTTCCATTGTTTAGAAAAGCCTCAAAAAGTTTAGGGTCTCTGAACTCAGAGCTTGAGTAAACACATCTATCTGTTTAGATTCTGGGCCTTGATTAGTACACTTTTCTTTGGGGTTAAAATCAAGTGTCTACACAGACACTTGACAGACAGTTTTGAGGTAAAAGCTTTGTTCCCTTCTTGTATTTGAAAGACTGCACTATAACTGGTCCAGGAAGGTGACTTCTTGCAACTACCTTGCAGTAGCTCAGACTTGCCAAGAGGAAAAAGGGAGAGGTGGAAGAACTTCATACATGGCTGAATTCAATGACAGCAGAGTTAGAGAAGGCACATTTATATTATCCCGTTTAGGATTAGGAAGGAAAACAATGTCACAAGTTCCTAAGTCAAGGAAGGGTCTTGAGTTATGTCATACTTGATGTATTGAGTATGACGAGTATTTCCAGCATTTCTAAACTTGCTATAGCAATATCTGTTAAAATCTAGTTTGCACCAGTTGTCTTCTTGGTTGAGTAAAGATTTTTAGTATCAGTTTAAATTTATCTTTTAAAGGTACTATGGACAGGTTTCCAATCACAGTCTTTTGTATCGTAAGAATCTTTGCCCCTATAGGGGCAACATTTGTTCCTTATGCAGCTTCTCCAGGTCTTGGTTCTTCGCCTAAAAGTAGGTGTATGTTAGCTTTCTGTGTATCTAACCTAATTCAGATTTAGGGCCTTAAAGTAAGACTGTCTAATTGCAATTCTTGGTAAGTGAGGGGAAAGAGGGAAATTCAGTGTCATATGTGCAACTTTGCAGAAACAGTTAGGTCTTGCTGTTTCAAGGTCAAGATAACCTGGCAGCACACACAACTGATTTGCTGTTATCTACTGCTTTGCTCTAGTTTTGGGTTCAACTATTTTGTTTACCCTTCAAATCACAGAAGTCATCCCTGAAGAAGATAATCCTCTCTGTGAAAGAGACTGAAGAACCATAAAGTAATTCTTAATAGGGATTAATGTCTATAGCTTTGCATATGCATGCTAGACAATTGAATGAATACAGTAGGTAGGCATTTCCAGTGAGCTGGTACAAGTATGTGGATTTTAGCTATGTAAAATATATATATATATATGTATATGTGCTTATATAGTTAGGTGACTAAAGGGATGTTTTCATTGGGTTGCTGTCTAACTGCCCTGTGAAAGGCTATTGCTGTCACTAGCAGCTGATTTCCCTGTGTTTTAGCTACTTGAAAGGCTCAAAGTGGAGCTTAATTCTTCATTTCTGCTGGTTTCAAGTACAGGTGGAACCTGTATTTCTAGAGTAGAAAACACTTTGTGTAGAACAAGATGACATGACTAATAGCTGATTCTGTATGGCACTTGAGTTGCCTAAAGGTATGATTGCATCGTGTAATACAATGATTTGCTGCACTTCCTAGCTTGTAGCAGCAAACAGGGTAAAAGCTATCTCAATATTTTGAGTACAAGAAGGGCTGTTTATTCCTTGTGTCAGTAATACTTACATTAGACAAAACAACAAAACCTAGTTTTGAGATAGTTATGTTGGCAATATGTTTGAAGAAAATATTCTGCTCAAAAGCTCTGGATGATGCTAATGATTTATAGCCAAGTTAGATTGATGTGGGTTCTTTGCTTTTGGTTTTTTCAGCTGGGTGTCTGAAGAGCCCCTATTTCAGGATGGGAGTGTGGGGGCAGGAAAACTTGTATTGGGAACATGTTTTATTAAGTAAGTGAAGGGAAAAGAAGCTCATGTTCTTTAGTCCGTTATAGAAAGTGGAGCTTAATCTGTTTTTTTGGGGGGGGACTTCGTAACATATCTGTCAGGACACTAATGTATTGAATGAGAATAGCTGGAACATAGTTAAGTGTAGAAATGTCCTGTAGGATTTTTTTTTAGCTGGTATAGCGTTAAGATCAACCAGGTTCCATCTGTCCTGAAGAAAATCTAGTGAGTGTTGGAGAAATTTGAAAAACTGCCACTCATCATACCTAATTTTTTTTTTTTGCAAAGGACACCAGATTATCTAGTCAAATGAAGTGCAAGGTTTTATGGCTTTAGGGGCTATAGATTAAAGGTGCCAACAAAACTGTAGACAAAATATAGTGTCTTACAATCCTGTAATCGACTTTTGAGCAGCTCACCGGCTTCATATAAATGTTCTAAGACCTCAGTAAATGTTTGAAGTGTTGTGCAAATGGGAGAAACTTGTTTGTTCATTCCTTCATGCCAGTATTGTTCATTGTGGGCACCACTCTTTCATGCCTTTGGCAGCTTTCTTTTGTTTTCAATAATGGCTGTGGAAACATCTGACTGCCGTTGGTCCCATATGAACTGAAAGGTAGTAGTCGGTCTAACAGATAGGTGAAACTCTCAGCCTAGATAAAGAGGGTATGGGAGGGATTTAGGAACACTCCAGTGGTTAGTGAAGGCACCTACGCTGCTTCCTTTTAGAAAGCTGTTTTTAAATAGCTGAGGTGTCTTCTCATGGCAAGGATTGCCCTGATTAAAGAGGATGTAGTGAGTTCATCACAGTTTTGGAGCAATATCTCCCTTTTGTAGAGCGCTCCAAGCAGGTCTGTTGAACTTCAGCCTTACGTAATTTCACTTCTGTCTCTAGTCAGCTGTCCCATGCTGTCAGTCTCAACATGATGAATCTTCTCTGAATTTGGGCAGTGGGAAGGATAACTGAAAGGCCTGTGTCACCAGAGAGTCTGGGTCATCTTCCTCACATGGCCTTATATATAGATATGCCCCCACAAGGCTCTGCTTGACATGTCTGTCCTACAGGATGAATGACAGTCTTAATTATATCTGTAAGTAAGAAAGCCAAATGTCTCCTGAAGGATGCGAATAATGAACACTGCAGCTTCGTAAGTAGTTGATCCAATGGAAGTGGATTACTAAACAAGAAAACAAGGGAAGGTTAAGCATTTCTTAAAATATTTCTGTTACAGTACTATGCCAGCACCAATTAAGAAAAATCATCTTGAATCACTTTTTCTTATTTGGAATATAGGACTTTATGTCAAAATTCTACATTTTTCTTAGGTGTCTTGTTACAGGATTGTGAAGAGATGCTTTGTAATTATTGTTTTCTCAATCTTACTAAGTTTATTTCACCATTGATAAAAGACGGATGAAAAAACAGGAATTTTAATGTTATGAAACAATTCTGATCTAGCATTAGTGTCCCTATCATGAGGTTTCCAAATTCTTGTTTACAACTGACTTGAAGACTCCCCAACTCTTCTTGGTAGCTTGTTTTGTTACAGCTAACTTGTAACAGAATCCTATTTTGGGAGTGTAAAATGGAAGAAAAACAGAGGTTAGCATCTTGGTGTCCCACACTGAAGAGACACCAGAAGAAAATTATAGATAAGATCAGGATAAGACACAAGTTATATCTGATGTTTTTTGGTGGTGACTAGTGTGTGCACTGGTGACTGTGGCCAATAGACACCTGCTCAGGCTGTCTTTTTGATCTCTATTTTTAATTCTACCTGAAGAGAGTAGCTTTTACATGCCTTTTTTGGGTCTTGTCTGATGGAGCTGCCTTAGAGGACTTTGAAGTACAGTATGAATTCTCAGCAGTTAACATCTAAAGTAAATTTGATAAGGAGCTAAAGTATTTTTAAATAGCTTTATATATGTATATACTTTTTGCAATTCCAAGGAAGCATATCATTTTAAAAGCTTCCTTGTTTTGCCCCTTTTTGATAGGTATTAAGTGGGAGAGGCAAGAATGACCTTTACAAAAGTAACTATTTGAAAACCATATCTTGTTAAGTAACTTGCTTCAGTTCAGCTTGCATTGTCATGTTTAGCAGAATAATGTTCTTGACTAATTTCCTGTCAACTCAGATAGTATCTTATGACACTGTAATGCACTGTGAGGAATTTCTGTGCTTCAGACAGAATCTAGAATGTTAATACAATTAAAATAAAAAAAAAAAAAAAAAAAGCTTGTGCCACGGTGTTTTGCCAGCTTAATGCTTGACTGTTAAATGTTTAGTGTCTGCAGGAGAGAAGAGTTGAATAGAACCTGTGTGGTGTGGCTGGTTTGTTGGCACTGTATCAATCCACTACCTGGATTTTAAAGCTAATAAATATCTTAAAATGTTTTGCTTTAAGTATATTCATTTAAACTCTTCTGTCATACAATGATGAGTTTACTCTTGTGTCTTTATCAAATTAAGTACCTTCCTTGACTGCTGTTTTTTTCTGTTGTAGGTATTGTGGTAAACGGCCTGATCAACATCAGTATTTCTACCATTGAGAAGCGTTATGAGCTGAACAGTTCCCTCACTGGCCTCATTTCTGCGAGCTATGACATTGCTTTCTGTGTATTGTCACTGTTCATATCCTTCTTTGGAGAAAGAGGGCACAAACCACGGTGGCTTGCTTTCTCAGCATTTATGATGGGGTTGGGCTCACTTGTATTTGCCTTGCCACACTTCAGTAGTGGAAAATATCACTATGGATCTAAACTTGAAGGTAAGATTATTTCTGTTTTGCAAATAACAAGAAAATCTTTGTAATTAGTTGGTGCAACTTTGTTAGTTAGTACACTATAGTTGGTAATACTGTTATCAGCTGTTTGGTTGGTATTTATTGGTCTTAAGAACAGAAAAATCTTTCTCATACTGAAACCAGGTGATTCTCTGAAATCTGTAAGATGAAGAGATCTTTCCCTGCATGCTGAGCTCGTTTCCAGATCTGCGTCAATATCGGCTCTAAATACACATCTAGATATCTATAAAATGCAGGCTGGCGTAATCTTTCAGGGCAACTCATTGCAATTGTTATTGCAATGCTTGAGCAAATTTATGCTTTCGGTGACTAAGCATGTTACAATAATCACCCAAACAGTCGGTACCTGTTAAGTGATCTGAGAAAAGGTTCTCTGTCTTCCAGTTTTTGATGACTTAGAAACAGATCAGTTTCATTCCAAGTACTAATCACATCATGAACTTCTATGTGGTGTCCAGACATGGGCCATTAGTTAAACAGCTGTTGCTCCCCATCAAATAAATGAGGACTTGAGGCAGAAGTCAACTGAACTTTTAACTAAGCAACACCAGAAAAGATGCTAAGTATTTGGCGTCTGTGAACAGATGCTTACCTGTTAATCCACAGCAGAGAAGCAAAAACTTGCTTGCTCCTGGCTCCATTGCAGTCCTGTTACTCTAGAAGACTACTTCCAATATTATGCTTCCCACCAGGTATGTGGTGCATGAGATCATATTCCCTTATCCTTTTGCATATCCAAGAAAAGTGCAGGAAAGGCAGCTGTGCAGCTCAAGTAGATGACTTTTTGCCTCAGCTTTATCTGAGTTTAAACATGATAACGTTTTGGGTGACCAGGAAGTGTTGAGCAAAGTAACTACCATGGAAGGGAAGCCGAACTAAACCTATAGAAAGATCTAATCTATATTCGTTGCTGTGGGCAGGTGCTTTGATTATGTATGCTTTTATGTACGGCCCAAATGTAGCTTAGATATAATCAGCTGTTTGTTACTATGACTTAAGTTACTGAGGGGTTTAGCTTCTGATCTGGCTCTAAAATTTATAGCCTAAACAGGAGCTCCATCTAGTGGGTTCTATAATAAACCCTTTCTGTGTTTGATTTTTATTTTTACTGAGGGTAATACAGAGGGTTAAAAATGCAATAGGAGGCATGTCATGAGCAATGAACTCTTAAACTTGCATGTCACAAATATATGCCACTTTGTACAAGATGAAATGTAGATCTTAACACAACTTTGTTTTGAGGCTAGTCTGATGTCTACTTTTTTTTTACACATATTTATACATATGACTATTTGTCATAGCCCCCTAGCCATCTGGGTTGAAATGTGTGTTGTGTCTTTGAGGAAAGGAAGAATGGGGAGGAAAGGCTCAAGTGCCTTTCTTCAGTTCTCTGTCAGGAAACTGTGTGGGTATGGGGATTCAATGTCCAGTACCCCTTTTAAGAAGGGTGATAATTGACTCCTACCCCTTTCCTAGAAGATATTGAGGACAAGTAAATTTAACTATGACGTTTGCTCACTAACAGTGACATGTGAACCTTTCTTTAAAAGTTGGAAGGTGTTTTAAGCCTCTAAGTAGGTGTTTGTCTGTCTTGTAACAGCAGCCTGTCTGATTTAGGTTGGTTTTGCTCCCTGAACAGACTGCTTGACTAGTCAGGTAATTTGCAGCACTGCTTCCATCTACTCCACTTGACTAATTTCTCTGCTCCATGTAGATGTCCCACTGCTACAGAACATCCACCTTTAGAAACTAGGAGTTCTTGGTATTTATTCAGCATGTTCATTGAAGTCTTCAAATATGCTTTCCCAGTCTAAACTTAGACAGATCTTTATGCCTAAAATGATAGAGGAAACCGAGCTGTTCCTTATTTTTTGTTCTTCACAACTCTTTCCTTCCCTCACATCCCACTGGCTGTAGTTTAAATGCGGTTAAAGCTACCCTTGATCTGCCTTACTTATAACTAACGTTATTGCTAAAGCATCTCACAGTTGATTACGCTTTGGCTTGGATGTTTCATTAGATCTTTGGAAACACTTTAGCCTTTATGGAATTTGGATTCAGGTGGGTATGTCACGATCAAAACATATGGAAGATTTACAATGATTATTCCATTGGCTGGTGTTGCAGTGTGAGTACTTTTCTGCTCTTCAAGAGATAAGTCTAGTTTTAGGAAAGGAAAACAGGTTTATGGCAGGGGATGGGGTGGTGGTGGGGAAGGTAGTAAAAAGATGATAAGCTAAAAAACTGTAGGCTAATCCAAGTTAAATTTAACTGGTCGCTTTCCCAATCTGTTTAACTGCTCAAAATCTTTAGCTGGCAGAAGTGGGTGGCATCATTTGATAGCAGTTTTGGCTGGCAGAGGTTGGCTTAAACTACTCTTAGTTTCGTTGTTAGTCATCCCTGTTTTGTCCCTAGAATATTTCTTGAGTTGGACTATATGGTGTGTGATTCTACTCTGCAAATGCATCTGTTGATTGAGTCTTCTGAAAGAAGCCTGTTAGGTGCTGCAAATAACAGGATTTATAATTATGTTAAAATCTTTTATGGTAGTTCTCTTTGCAGCTGGTGACCTGGTTACGTGGTTCTGAAAACAGACTAATGTGATGGCTTTTTTCCTCTCAAAATATCAGGGTAATTATTCTAGGGCATATAAACTGAAGGGCTGGAAGACCCATGAGAGAGAGACAGTAATCAATTAGTTATCTAATGACACAGGTTCTAAAAACTCAGTTCATATGAACAGAAACATATAGAATTTGTTCACCATTATAATATGTAGCTCTCAAACTAGGCTATATATCTTTTAACATTTGTTTGCTCTGTTACTGACTTTGACTTGGATGCTTTAATGAGAACATAGCAGTCTTTTTATTAAGCTAAAATAATAAGATAAATGCAGGTTTAGATTTGTCTAGTTGTTAGGTAGTAACGTAACAGCAGATATATTCTATACCGTCTATGTATTCTATAAAATCAGTTGGATGAATAATTGGTGTCATAAGACATGGTGTCTTTTTACAGTCAAAGAATTTAGAACTCTGCATACAAATAATATGACGTTCATCTAATGGAGGATTTAAAATTGCTTCCTGCAGAAGAAAGGAATATTGATGAAGAAAATGAATTTAACATTAAATGGAAAGTACTCTGTAATAACTTTAATTTTAGAGCAGTGATTCATAATAAACTGCCCGCAGTGTGACCACAGAGCAGCATCAAAGTGCAGGCTATTGCTAAGTGGAAAGGGGGGGGGGAATGCTCTCTTGAAGGGAGGAATTTCTGTGTCTCCCTGTTGTGCACCAAGTTCTTTCCTCTATTGTGCTGTGCCATCCCTTCCACAGAAGGGAATAATTACAATACCTATGGATGTGCTTCTGGTAATTTGGGTGTATGCTGCTGTTTAAATGCCTCCTCCTCCAGCATGGGTGAGCTTGTCCTCTGTTTGCATTTGAGATCACCTTTTACTTGAGCAAAAGGAGCTGAGAGAACAAAGTAGTAGTTTTGTGGCAAACTGGTGAATATACTGGATCTGATCCTGAAGGTGGCTTTCATGCAGTTGGTCAATATGTACTGCTCCCACCAAACTGATGGGTTTACTCTCTTTCTTGGGGTTGTGTGTTCTTCTGGAGAAGTTTGGGAAGAACTATGCTTATTTTTCTTTTTGGTGCTATTGGGACTGCAGCAAAAGTGTAGTGATACCTAGAGGAAGGAGAAGAGAAAGCCGATTTTGTCTTCATTTCCTCCTTTCCCTTCCTTTTTCCTAGTGCCAAACACAATGGGAGTAGGCACAAGCTTAACCTGTTTGACCTTCTGACTTTTATTTATAGACAAATGCATCAGCTCTTCATTCTGGGAATGTGACAGCATGCTCTGTGAACTAGTTTCTTGTGGTTGCTTTTAATAGAGAAACACTTTTTTCTAAGCAGGATAGAAGAGAGAAGGAATTATTTTTGCCTGGAACTCCAAAAGCTGCACTTTCTCTAACAGTCCGACTTCCCTCTTGTGCTTCAGGCTGCTAATATTCTTGCTTTGTCTAAAAATGGAGAGTTAGTGTTCCTCAATCATCATATGGTACAGGAACAAGTTGAAGCATCTCTTACCTATGAGTTTTTGTTAAATAGGATTGTATAACTATTTGACATTTCTTTTACATACGTTTGATCAATAATGCTTTCAAAGGTCCAAAGCATTTTAATATGGCTGTTTCTTCCATTTTTCTGTGCTTACTAAGGAAACAAAAATGGGGTCATTTTTGTAAGAGGAAATTATCTTGTAGAAGGTCAAGGCCTTGTCTCTTAGGGCAAGTGGGAATAGTAGGGCTGAATGGGAGCCTAGCAGCATCTGTGCTGTGTGTGGAGCTTAGCTTTTGGCACATGTGTTTGCTTGGTGGGATATGTGATGAGCTGGATAACTGAATTCCCAAGTCTTGCTATTTCTGTCTTTCAGATACATGCCAAATTCCAGGAACAACCTCCACTAACTCTACCTGCAGTGCCAGCACAAAGTCTTCCCTCTCCAACTACCTCTATGTGTTCATCCTGGCCCAGCTGTTGCTGGGAGTTGGAGGAACACCACTGTACACTTTGGGGACAGCTTTTATTGATGACAGTGTCCCAAAACACAAATCTTCCCTTTACATAAGTGAGTTTTTTTTGATCTGGTTATAATGCATTGCCTGTATAGATCATGAACTACAGCATCTTAAAATGTTTTTATGGAGTGACCTTGAGATTTAATCTTTCTTCATTGCTTGCTTGTGTGCATTAAGTAGTTCAGTAATACCAAACTGGCACAGAACCTGACAGCCTGCTGTATGTGTCCAGTCTTTTTAATAGCTATTTAACTGAGCACAGTGTGGACAGTTTGTGCACCTGACAACCTGCTGTTTCTTTGTGGCAGTAACCGAGCAGGAGAAACTAATTGGTTAGCGTAGCCTGTGAGCACATGACCGAATAAGCTGTTCTAGCAAAATGTGCTTTCTGCTGTCATAGGTATTGTGAAATGACTGCGTGTCAGCTCTGCAGCCACATCTTACTGTATCCTCCAAATATTTTATGTAGTTCACCTCTCGTGCCATGTTGTCTCTTCAGTGTAGGGACATTCCTGTGCAGTGCATCATATTATCTATGTAGCTCTCTAGTCATAGATAAATTTGGCGCTTAAGGAAGAAACATTGAAAATATTTCCTTAACTGGAGATAGGAGAATTACCTAGAAAGTTGGAGAATGGGGTTGTATTTCATTGTGGGCTAGTAAAAGCTATAGAGTATTAGTTCTTAGTTGTGGTCTCTAATCTCTTCAGTTGGTGTTCTGTGGTCTGTGTGCACTTCTGCTGCCTAATTTAATGCAGTCTGTGTTTTCTGTGGTGGTGAAATTTTTCAGCACTTACCCATTTTTGGTCTGTCCTGATAGAAGTGTGGTGTTTGTATTGATAACTTGCAGTAGGCAACTTGAGTATTATAGATTCTTGGCTTACTTCTCAGTTTTGGAGTCAATGTTTTAATTTAAGGCTTTGGTTCTGTCCCTGTTGCATACAGTTTTTGCTTAATAGATCCAGGCAAGCCCCTTGATACTAACAGAAACCAGTTTCTCATACTACATCTTTAACAATGACTGCTTTTATTTCTGCTGCTTATCTGCAGAGATTCTTAAGCTTTTTCTGAGGCTAGTGAAATGGAGAAGGGCTACCTGCCTAATTAAGGGGATCAAGAAACAACATACAAACTTAGGAAAGTAGCGTTAACTTAAAACATAACAGACCAATTCAAAGAACTGATGCTACTACAGCTAGTACATCAACTCTGTTTATTTTCATTTCCTGGTACTTAGGTATTCCTTCCTGTTTTCTTTTTTTGCTATTTAAAGAGATTGAATATTTAGGAAGCAGGTACCCTGAAAATAATTCAGGCATCTTGATTCTTCAACCCAGAAATGTATAGAATGTACCTGTCTCATGGGTTACTTAGCTGTAGTTACTGTGAGTTGCAAACCTTTATCTGCAGAGACACTGCTCTTAGCCAGCCATAAACACCTGTCTGGTAGGGCAGAACAACTGTTGGGGGATGGAGTGAATCTTGTACTCAGGCAGAAGTAGTGAGTGGAGCAAAGAGGGCTTTTTCATAGGACTTGGCTACATCTTCCACTTTGTTTCTTCAAAATTTTGTCAACAGCTGCTAAGAGCCCTGGTGTGTATGTGATTTAGCCTTCCACAGAACTTCAAGTGTCAGATACTACTCCTTTCAACTTAAAGAAAATTCTGGCTTCTGATCTTGACTGATTTAAGCTCCAACTAAAATTAAATATTTAGCTTCTTGCACATTGCTTCCATGTACTGTTAACTGCTGATGCTCTTCAGGAGCTTTTCACAAAGTGAAGTAGCTTATGAGTGTAGGCACAAGACGTGCTAAAGGCCTGCAAATAATGCAGAAAGATGCTGTCAGAGAGGTGTCTTTTAGTGTGTTAAACCTCTGAGAAAAGGCAGGTTTAATGAGCTGCAAGTTTACAAGTAAATTAGCACAAGTACAGACTTCTTTCTTCTGCACACTGTAGGCTAAATAATGACACTGAAGGAACAGGCTGAATTACAGAAGCCATTTTGTATTAAGTTTACTTATACTTTCAAAGCTTTATTTTAAAGAATTTGTATGGCAAAGCTTGACATAAGTATTTTTCCTTCTAGGAATTGGCTATGCCATGTCACTGCTGGGCCCTGCTGTTGGTTATGTCTTAGGAGGGCAGCTACTTAATATTTATATTGATATCCAGATTCCAGAAAGGCAAGACATTTAGCCTTTTTTTTTTTTTTCTCTATAATCTTTAAAGCCTTCAACTCCTCCCCTTGGGAGGAGGGGATCTAGCATTTCCTTGGGAAATAACTTTTTCTAAACTTGTTTAATTTGGTAACAAATTGCATTGCATGAACTTCTCGCAAGTAAGATGCTTCGTATAGTGAATAATCTCTCCCCTGCAAGGTTTTCTTTTGTGTGAATAGTTCTAGCTTTTGAAGATATTAGTTATTTTAAAGCTGATTAACAAAAGGGGCTTCTGATTAATCACTCCTTTAGTTGCTAGAGTTTGTCTATTGATACAGTGTGGGAAATGTTTTCCTGAGGTGGGATATAAGCAGTAGGACCCAGCTTCTTTCTTGCCTGAGGAGAGTTTGCTAGAAAATCTATCAATCAGCTGAGTGACAGTTCACCCTTCAAAAGGTAGTATTATGAATTGTAACTATATCTTAAACCTACAACTTTGTGTATACTGTTCTTGCATTTTCTGTGTTTTAATGACTTGATCAATGCAGTAGCATTCCCCTGAAGTACTATGGGCTTTCCTGAAACTCATTGATTATGAAGATTTTTAAAAGCAGCTTTAAGTATTACAGTGCTACAGCTGCCTAAAATTAAGATCAGAGTAGCCTTCAAATCAGATTGAATTTAATAAATAATAGAATTAAATAAATAGAATGCATGCAGAAAATAAGGGAAAATAAATAGCAGTATCCGAAGGCTTTTAGGAGCAACTAGTGTAATGAAGCTTGCCAATGTCTCAAAATTGCTGCTTTTGAGTTCAGAACTGTTAAACCTAATTTTCCAAATTATCTTTTTAGTACAAAGCTGGATCACGATGACCCACGTTGGCTTGGGGCATGGTGGATAGCATTTCTTGCATGCTTTTTTGCAATTTGGCTTCTGATAATACCGTTTTCATGCTTTCCAAAGCACCTGCCAGGTAAATGTTTAACAGTAATGAAATACTTTGGAAGGGAGGGAGATTTGTTTATCTGTTTATTTGCTTGTATGGATTATGCAGTGCTGGACTGAGAATGATTGATTCCTCTCTGGTTCTGTTTCTCATTTTGCTATGTCTTTGACTGAATTTTGGAAAATGCCTACAGCTAAGCTCCTAGGGCTGTATTTAAGAATGCTTTCAATGTACTTTTTGCTTTTTTGTTCAGGTAGCTACTATCTAGGAATATCCTCAGAGGAGCATTTTAAGGAACCTATCCTGCTTGTTTGGAAGAGAAATAGAATACAGGGAGCAGTGAAACAAAAAACTGGGAAGAATGGGACGGTTATAAAAACATGGAACAGGCTTCAGACTTGTCAGAAATTCTTAAGATATTTCTGATAACATCTCACAGCTTCAAAAGGATGCATGGTATTCAGCCTGACTCCTCTCAAGAAGAAGAAGTTACTGATCTTTATATTGATCTATATCAATAAAATAATCAAAATTTACAATTTGAGCTTGTTTTCTGAAGAAGTCTTTATTGTGATATTACTCAATTTAAGTTGAAGAACGCTGTTCAATGTATCCATTGTCCAAAAATATTCCCTTCTGTAGGCACAGCAAAAATATAAGCTGAAAAAATCTCTGAGACCCATAATGATGGAAGCGAAGCACTTGTTAAAATCAAGAACATTGGAAAAAGCTTTAAAGACTTTCCTGTGGCTCTCATGGTAAAATAATCTGGAATTTTTAATTAAAAATTATATTTTTACTATTATGGATTTTTTTAGGTTTTACATGAGTATCTAGGAAGATAAGTTTTTCTTTTTATCATGCTGCGACCAAGAAGTTTACAGTGCTGCTGAAAATCTTTAATGCGTGCTGCTTTGTTTAGTTGATGCTTAAGATGGTTAAAGCAGGAAAAGCATGCTAATGACCTTCAACATAAAAGGGTCAGTCTGCTTTCAAATATAGTTGCTTCAGTTTATCTGGTTTTACAGTGAGATAATTTCCTGAGTGCTATGCTACTTTTTCACCGCAGATACTCTTGAAGAATCCTGTGCTCATGAGTCTAATAATAGCAAGCTCTTCAGAAGCTTTAATTGCCACAGGTTTGCCACACCCAAGTTCATAGAAAATCAGTTTGGACAGACATCAAGTTTTTCAGCAACTCTAGGAGGTAGTGTGTGTGGTGTTTTTTTTTTATTTATTTTATTTTTTTTTTAATTTTACATTGTACGGACCACCTTATTATAGCTGAGTGATTAATTGGCTATCTTGTACTTCCTGTCCAAGACACTTCTGTGGAGGTATTTATATGAGAACTATAAAAACGCAGCTTTTAAAGCTGTTTTTACCCATCCTAAGAAAACTGGTGCACCAAGGGTGCAAATCTACTAGTTGTCTGTCAGTTCAGTGGACTTGGTACAAAAATTCAGAACTTCTGTGAGAATCTGAAGTAATTGTTTTTACCCTTTTTATTTTTGAGTAGCATTTAATTTTTCATAATTAAAGTCAGCTGAAGGCATGCTAAGCATTAGTCTTGAAGGGCAGCTGAAGAAAAAGCACTGCCTCTCCCAAGAAAGAGATTGAACTGGCCTTTTGCTTCAATCCCACTGTAATGCTTCAGTAGGTGAACATTTAATAACTTAACTGCCTAGCTGGGATATAGTCTGAAATGGCTGTGCATCTGCAGTTGGCTCCCTGTCACTTATCATATGTGCATATCAGATAAGAAATAGGTGGAACAAGGAGAGGTTGTGAGAAGCTGAGTATTGGAAAAACAAATCTGAAAATCTGATGGAGATGCTATACTAGATGGGAATACACAATTAATCCAATAACTTTTTTTGAAGAACAGCAACCAGATCAAGGTAGCTATGCCAACAGAGGCTTACAGTATGACAGACCTGGTACTTCTGAAGCATGTCTTGCTAAGTTACTTCTCAGCTCTAATATCTGCCTGCATGGCAGCACTAATTGAAGTGCTCTTGTTCCAACAGACATGACGTGCTTGGAACATTCTGAATCACTTATTCCCCTGGCTAATAGTAGAAAACTAGTACTATTGCTATTCAAATAACATTGCCACAAACAAAACAAAACAAAAAGTACCCTGCAAGTTTTACACTGAAGTGCGTTGAAATCCATGGTCAATTTTTAAATGGTAATTTGCAATAAAGTAGAAAATTTTCTGCACCGCCTCTCAGATTGTCTTCAGTTGTTTTAATTGGAATTGGAAATATTGGTAGTGTTAATCAAATTTGCAACTTGAAGGAAATGCCTGCAATAATGTTGAAAGCTGGCTAGTTGTAGTCTAATATTGAGTTAGCTAAACTAAGTATTTTCAGTAGCCTTGTTAGCTATTTCAACCAGTGTTGACTGCAGGTATCTGACAATTCTGTTGCTGTACCTGAACTGTCTCTAAAATGAATTGTTTCAGGATAGTGTAAGTTGCACTAATCACTTCTGGGCTGTTTTATATGCTAAACGTAGAAAAATATTCATTTATCCACCTAGTATCTTAATTTATTGTCTTTGCATTATTATGAACAGTATCAATGAGGGGAGGAAAAAAGGTTCGTCCGTCTCAGCAACTTGAACTATCTTTCCGGAGCTGCTTAAATGTATTTTGTGCTATATATTGTACAACAGGGCCACAAGGATGATCAGGGGCCTGGAACATCTGCCCTATGAGGAGAGGCTGAGGGAGCTGGGCCTGTTCAGCCTAGAGAAGAGAAGGCTGAGAGGGGATCTAATCAGTGTATATAAATACCTCAAGGGAGGGAGTGCAGAGGACGGTGATGGTCTCTTTTCAGTGGTGGCCACCGACAGAACTAGAGGAAATGGCCGGAAACTGAAGCATTAAAAGTTCCACAGGAACTTAAGGAAAAATTTCTTAACAGTGAGGGTGACAGAGCGCTGGAACAGGCTGCCCAGAGAGGTTGTGGAGTCTCCTTCTCTGGAGATCTTCAAAACCCGCTTGGATGCAGTCCTGTGCCACGTGATCTAGGTGACCCTGCGTGTGCAGGGGGATTGGACTAGATGATCTCTAGAGGTCCCTTCCAACCCTAAGCATTCTATGATTCTATGATTCTAACAGGAATTATGTTTTATAGGAAGATTGCAGCTTAAGTGTATAATATAGGCACCAGGTAAGCACATGAAAATATTGAGAAGAATTGAGGTAACATTTTGAAGCTTTATATAACAGCCTACTGGTGTTTGGAGATTCTTGCTAAGTATAGCAGTGTACAGTTTGCAAATTTAAAAAGTACCTTGTTTGTTGCTTTGAACTCTGGCTTTGGACACCTAAGTTGCGCCCTTAAGTTGTACTTCTGAAGAGACCAGAGATAATGTAAGGGTCAAACAAATCACTTCTTAGTGAAATGCCTAAATTACTCATGCTGACAGATTCAGGTAGGATGGTTTTAAAATGATATCACACGTAGTGCATCTAAAGATACAGGTAACTGCTATGATTTTCTTAAAATTGCACTCAAAATTGCTTCACTAATTGTCTTGCATTTGTGTGTAATTGCTGGTGTCTTGTTTTTCTCTAGGACTTGTATTAATTCCAGCAGCAGCACTAGGCCAAATCATAAGTGGCTTCTTGGTTTCCAAGTGCAAAATGGATTGCAAAAGCATAATCAAGTTTGTGATAGGCACTTGTTCAGTGGCACTGCTATTAAACACAGTGTTTTTATTTGCTAAATGTGGGAATGAACCATTCGCAGGTGTCTCTGAAACATATAATGGGTAAATATATTTTACTGCACCCTTGGGATTGGTGTTAATGTTTAAAATACATAAGCTATTTCACACAATACAAACTCTTTAAAAACTTATATCGCTTTACCTTGATGTATGAAAACTTGACTGTTTTATGGAACTCAGCCTCGTTCTTTGATTCTTCATATAACATACTAATAGGAGAATGTCACCATGTGTAGCCTGTAAAATGTCCCGAGCAGGATCAGCCTGCTCAACAACAACTTCTGTAACCCTCTTGCTATGACAACTGTGATCTGACTAGGGCTAATTCTGTATATGTGCAAGAGTGGGGTCTCTTATGTCTTGTTAAATTACCCAGTGGTGGACAACCTGGGCAGATCGTTCATGGGGAGGGATCTGCCATCCACAGTGGTTTCATGAGAGAATCATTAGATGAGCTGTAATGGAAACTGCCTCCAAAGTGATTGCAGGCTTATCCCTAGAAAAGTCAAGGTGTTATAGTATCAGATTCTACTGCGTCTAGTATCAACTTACAGAAGGGAACCTTATTTTATCTGGGTAAAATGTCTAATATTTTAAAGCAAGATGCAGAAGATGAATGCAAAGAGTGTAGCTCAGGGACCCAAGGTGAAGAATGAAGTATGTGAAGTAAACCTAGCTTAGCAATACCATGATTCAAAATATTTTTGGCTGCTGTGTATAGGAAAGGCTTCTATAAACATTTTTTTTTTCCTTGATAACCCAAAAGAGCATGGTTTGCATTCCTAATGAGAATGTAATTATGAATCATATGTGGGTCTCTGTACTAACTGCAATAGCAGAGTTTTAGAATGAATGGTCTTCCTGTTGCTGTGAACAAAACTTATCCTGGAAATCAGTATAACAAGGGAAGAACTTTCAGAAAAGTGATAGTAAGCATAAAGGAACATTTAACATGTTTCTGCAAGAATAAGTTTGAGTGGAGTCCTAGGACCAGTTTTCAAACTTAACATGAAATGCGTGTGATCAAGGAACCATCTCAGCAAGAGGGGCACATGTCTCTGCCAAAAGGCTGGCCAACCTGGTTAGGAGGGCTTTAAACTAGACGAGAAGGGGGAAAGGGGAGTGTCACACAGACACAGCGAACAGTACCACACAGCCAAGGTCAGATGGCGTCCAGTGGGAGTATGCTAGTGGGGAAGTGAGGATAGGAAATGATCACGGAGGGTCCTCTTTCACCCCTCCTGGGAAACCTGCAGGCTCAGTTACTTCCCTGAAATGCCTGTACACCAATGCGCGAAGCATGGGGAATAAGCAGGACGAACTGGAGATCTGTGTGCGGTCCCAGCGTCATGATCTCATTGGAATCACAGAGATGTGGTAGGATGGCTCGCATGACTGGAGCGCTGCCATGGAAGGCTATGTGCTCTTTAGGAAGGACAGGCTGGGAAGGCGAGGTGGTGGAGTTGCTCTTTATGTGAGAGAGCAACTGGAATGCATGGAGCTCAACCTGGGGGTGGA